TCGTCCGTCCCCCCCGCCCCCGCCGGAGCCCCGCGCCGCCGCCCGGCGGCGGAGCGGCCCCCATGGACTTCTACGAGGCGCACCCCTCTGGCAAGGTGGATTTCGGCAGGTGAGGGGGTCGGACGGCGGACGGGGGGGGCTCTCGGTCAGCTGGGCTGCAGCTGCCTCGTCCTGCGCGGAGCCGGGCGTCGGAGGAGTTAAGACTGGGCTGGAGAGGCGTTTCATGTAACTTCGTGGTGGGGGTGCCGAGGCGTCTTCTTCGGACGGATGGTCCCTCGCCGTGTTTAACGGCCTGGGTTGGTTTCCAAACTTGTCACTGTGTCCGTCGGGAGACGGTCGCCGTGGGCGCTGGGAGCGAGTAGGAAACGGGGTAACTCTGAGGTGATTTGAAGAACCGGTTATAAAGTTACTGCCTTTTGGGTGATCGGTGACTCAAATGCGCTCATTTCCTAGGGAAGGTGTAGGGGTTTTACAGATAGCTTTTTTTTTTTAATATACTACTTTTTCTAGAAAGAGGACGCTGTAACGCAACAGCTCGATAACTTCACCCTGTGATTAGGATTTTTTATATGTATTTTTACCCCCGATGACACTTAATAGACGCGGCCACAGCGATTTAGGTGCATGCACTTCACTTTTCTGGCACGCAGAAAGAAGCCGGCTAAAGAAATCCTCTCTGCTGCCTCAGCGTTAAAGGCATGCTCTGTGCAAGACCAGGTATAAAGCACAGTGCGGCTGAGGATCTCCTCACATCCCGAGCTGAATTGCACGGTGAGGGAGAGAAAGGATGGGCTTTGGATCGGTTAAGTAAGCAAGTTAGAATAGTTTCTGTGATCTGAAGACAGAACGTTGCAGGCTGTGGGATCCTCGCAGGCAAAGAGACAGTATCTGCTCTTTGTAGTAGTCCTCTGCTTCTGTCACGCAGAAAATAAATTTCAGAAATTATTAAAACTGCAGTTAGGAAAGATAATATCCAGCCTTTGCTGGATATATCTACTACTTTGTGAGCAGATCCACGTGCCAGTAATCTTGAAACTTAAAACTTAAGAAAAATAAATGTTTGCCTTCTCTTTTATTAATAAATCTTCTCATTTTTCTGAAAGAAGCAGCGGTTCTGTTAAGGGATTGAGTTACTGCCAAACCCTGCACTTCTCTTGATAGTTCTGCAGATAATTCTTTCTACTCGCTTTTAGGGGGGTAGGTTACCTGTAGGGCAATGTGCATTATACTTAGGTGTTGCAATGACAAATCACACAAAAATACCTAGTTTTTGTATTTGCTATATTTCTGGTTAGTGGCTGCTTTAGTTCTCAGTATTTTTGGTTCTCATTTGGTTCTCTCTTTCCATGTGAGCATTGTGTTGCTGGAGGGGATCAGCTTAGTGAGTTCCAGCAAGGCTGACTTAGCCCTTCAGCTTGGCAGGGATGGATCAAGTGAACTGCACCCAGGTTACTTCAGTTGCCTTTTTCTTTACGAGTGACTTTAACTGGAGGGTTTTACCCATTTGCTATGGATAGTCAAGGTTTCTTTTATCACGTTGTATAAGAATAGGAGGTTGTACCACGTCCCTAAAGAAAATTCTGCTTTGTCTTCTGCTGCTCACCTTGCCTTGATAGAAAGTGGATGTCCTCGATACCAGAGGTATCTGCGTTTTGGTAGATTGCATTTTAGTATATGCGTCAGTGTGTACACAAATATGCACAAAGACCTAAAGAAAGGGCCTGGTGCAAGAGCTTGCCTTTTTGTCATTGTTGTTTGCTTTTTTCCAACTATATAATACTGATTTATAGCCACAAAGTGCTCTTGCAAGTCCTGGAAACTCCCACTCGCTTTAAGTGTCTTCAGCTCAGCCAAGCTGTCCTACTGAAGCTCAGGGAGACTCCGAGACTCTTTGTGTAACCAATAAAGGATCGAACGCATAATTTGCAAAGTGCTTTGCAATCTTTTTTGGTAGAAGGTGGTGATAAATGTAGGATACTGTTAAGCTGATTATAGTGATTAGAGTATTTCACAACTTTGTTTCACAACTTTTTGTATTTGTAGTATATTTCAATCTCTGCATGCATCTGGGTAGATAGCTTAAAAGAATGCTTATCTACCGGGGAAGGTGTGTGATGGTGGTGGAGAACTGCTTTTTGTGGGGTTTGATTTTTTTAAATATATTTATTTATTTATTTTAAACTATTACCAATTCATTAAAAAAAGTGCTGAATTTGGGATTATTTAAGAAAATAAAATAGCCTCCCTTCTCTCCCCGCCAATCTGCAGTAAACTATTGTTACATTTGCACTGGAAGGAAAACTGTTTGAATTGGTTTAAAAGTCAGATTTAAACAACATTAACTTGAACTCACTTGAAAGATGAAGCATATATTTTATCAATAGAACCAAAATATATTAAGTTGTCTAAGCTGGTGGGAAAGCGTTTTCTACAGATGTCCCACTTTCATCTGTGGGCAGAAGGTCCAAGTTCCCAGCAATCTCAAAATGTTCAGAGTAAATATAATTTTTTTTTTTTATACTACGGCATAAAGGAAAAAACTCAATTTTTTTTTCTTCTTTCCCAGTCATGTGTTGAGGGTGTTTCAAACCAGTGTCACGGATTATTTCAACAGTAACCAGGCAGTAACTCTTTTGTCTTCCCTTGTCAGAAAAAATCACTGCCAAATTGATTTGAGGTCCCTTTGGCCAATTTCCCTATGTAGTCTATAATCAGCAGCTTCTAGGTGGTGTTTTCAGATACACTCTGAGAGCAAAGACACCTTTTGAAAGCCATATGGGAAAGAGATATTTCGTTAATTCATGTTTTCTACTTCTACATGGGAACTGGAGCAGGTTGCAGCTTGGTAGTATTACGTGGGATGTGCTAGAGGTTTTGTAGGTGGTAAGGCCAGTAAGCATGTGTAACTCTTTCTGGGTTGGATTCAGAGCATGAACAGGTCAGTTGTGCTTTTAAACGGCTTTGCCTTTTTATATAGACTCGTGTAATCCAGCTGAGTTTGGTCAAATTAATCCTGATTTACACTGAGCGTGAGTGAGATCAGAATTAGGTTTCTGGGCTTTTTGTGTTGACTAATCCTTGCAGTGCACTGAATCAGAATATGAACCCTGTGAAACTGGGGCAGCTAATTTTGAAGAACTTTAGGAATGTTTTTCATGTGTTCTAACAGGTGGCTTTTTTTCTTTCTTCTTTTTTTTTATGATTCAAGTAAAAGACCCGTGTTGGTTCTTCAGAATGACTCTCTCTACTCTCAGAGACGTCCTTACACCAGTGAAGATGAGGCCTGGAAAACCTTTCTTGAAAATCCCCTTACAGCAGCTACCAAAGCCATGATGAGCATCAATGGTGATGAAGACAGCGCAGCTGCCCTCGGACTGCTCTATGATTACTACAAGGTAGATTGGAGTGGGTATGCTCTGGCAGCCAGCAGAGCTCTTGTTCCACCCGTGGAGAAGGTGTCATTTGCTAGAGGATTTTGCAGAAGCTATGTATAGATCACGAGGACTTTAAACTATGTGGTTTTTAAATGGAAAAAATTCCATGTCCCTTTTTCTGAAAACTGGTTTATTTTTAGCTCAGTAAAATAAGATCCCCTGAATCTTAATGTAATGGGTCAAAAGCTTCAGTAGCACTTTGCCTGTCAACTCCAGGATCTGCAGGAGGTGATGTATTATAGAAATAGTCATGAAGGATGAGACTTTGGGAGCATGTCCCTGTCTGAATGTAAATACACATGGAGAAAGAAACTTCTCTCCTTTTGCTCCCTATTCGGTGGGACCGTTGGCTTTTGTTGGGGCTTTGATGTGCTACTTTAGTCTCACCTGATACTAAGCTGTAACTACAGATTTTTGGTGGTGTGTGGACCGGAAGTGTCCACCTGAAGGAGTTGCTGTCTGCATCCCTTGTTATCTTCAGTAAGCTTCAGCTGTTGTAATCTATTAGTCCTTTGACAACTGTCATTGTCTTCCCCAGTGTTCGTGGTCCTCTCCATGTGCCTTCCTAGATGCTCACAGGTGAATTGAGCAGTCAAACAGATAACCTTCTGGTTTGTGTGGGATACGTTTTGCTGAGCTTTCTTTCCTAAATACCAGAAGTCTAAGCTAGGGTAGTTATCTCCAGTCCACGTCCAAGTCAGTGGAGACCAGCAAGCGTTTCCAGGCGGGGAGGAGTCCTGCTCGTGTTAGATGCCTGCGTTACAGTGGCCTGGCTCACTGGGTGGAGATGCCTTTTTTTACTTTGCTGAGCATGCAGGGAGGCCAGGAGGCTGACTTGACTTGTGTGCCTGACACTTTGGCTAGTGTCTTAACAGCAGTGAGTGTAATTGCCAGTGTCTCTATATTCTTCAAGCATGAGGAGAGGTTGCCTTGTGCACGCAAAAACCTTGCCTGCCCTTTTAAGAGTTGAACACGTCTTGTGTATCAAAATGTTCTTGTAACGCTTAATATGGAGATTAGCACTCCACACGCACACGACAGAATGCCACAAACTCACTGATGTGGATGATATTCAGCTAGTTCTGTGAGAAAACTGGCTTTCTGCTTTGTGCCTGTGCTTGCTCTGCTTTTGGAAAAAAAAAAAACCCACACCGCTTTTCACCAGAACGATTTTAATCCACAAAATCAGTTTTGATTTCTAAACCTGTAGATTACAAAGAGAGCGTTGATGTTGATCCCTCACGCTTGGCAAAGCAGAAGGGATTTGCTGTACATTAACGTCTAATTCAGGGTTTCCTCTTATGTTTGGGTATCAGTGAGTGTACAGAAAAATCTGTGGAAGAACAGGTATCCTGTACGCTTGCATGAAGCAAAATGTTTAGAGGTTGAAAGATTTATTGGGGGTTGTTACGAAGTAATGCTAGAGGGACAACATCTAGACGTTTCTAATATGCCCCCTCTGCAATATTAAAGGCAGCCAATGAGATCACCTTTGTATTAAAAAAAAACAAAAAAACAAACCAAAACCCAACAAAACCAAACAACTTGAGTTTTCTTCCACTTGACTAATGAGCTACCCTGATAGCTCAACTGTGGTTAATAAGGCCTTACAGGAAACAAATTTTTGATCAAAATCTAGAGTTTAGGAGTGTTGGCCAAACACAGCTCGGAAGACCCTTGTTTTTTAGTGACTAGTAGTGTTGGCCTCCTAGCGGTTTCCAGCTAGAGGTTCTCCAAATTTTGCTGGTTACTGTGGAGAATCCAACAATTCTGGTGTTCCTGGAGATTCCCGGTTATGTGGAAGAGCCAGGACTTAGGTGTTAGTCGGGTGCTGTTTAGAGAAGCATGCTGTTCGTGCAGGTAAGCCATCAGCCTTTGAGTTAGCAGTAAAGTGGTGGTTCCCTGTGTTGCACCCAAGCTGGCAAAGGCAGGCAGTCTCTGAGCAGGCTTCAGCGAAGGAAGGTGGTGGGAGTTTACTCCTCCTTACACCAGAAGGTGTTTGCTTTGCTCATTCAGGAGGCGTGTTGAGGGTGACAAAAGCCCTGGGGGCCATGTGTGGGTTTGCAGAGGAGCGTGTGTGGGCTTGCTGTGCAGTTGAGGGGACTTGAGCACCATAGGCTTGTGCCAGTGGTGGCAAGAGCTGTTTGGGTCGCTGGGGCACTGGCTGTGTGCTCCAGTGAACCAAGCTGCCGCAGGTCGAAGAGTTCACCTTCTTCTGTATACCTTGGCCTTGCCGCACAGCCAGGAAAATGGCACGTGTTTGTGTGTGGATGAGGTGGCTTGTGATCAGTGTTGTGGTATGTGGTGTTTTCAGGGCAAATCCTGTCCACGGCATAAAATATGAGGAGCAGTATTGAGCTGTCTTAAATCCAGAGCACTGGTCATTACCTTTTGTTTATAAAAGATTTAATACAGTTTGGGACAGGGTGTTGTATGTGGCTGTGCACAAAAATGATATGTAGCATCCCAATACACTTACTGGACCTGAGCGTCCCCAAATCCCCTGGTCTCCAAGGAGAAAGGAAAGCCTCAAGTGGTCTTTGAGGAAGTGGCCTAGAGAGCACGTGTTCATGGGGAAGGGGCTGTGGAGCAGCGTCCTTTCACAAGCCTTGAGCTCATCCAGTAAGCTGGACCCTGCCAGCCTGCAGAGGAGGAAACCTTCACTGCTGGAGCAAACCTTGGGGGCTCTGCTTCTGGTCCTGCTCACACCAGTGCTGGTGCTCCAGCCAGGGATGGACCATTTTCTGCACCAGTTTTTCCCACTGCCTGGTGCTGGCAGGAGCCCAGGGCTGGCACAGCTGGCCAAGTAGTCTACACAGGGATCAGCAGGACATCGCGTGGGGTGGGCCTGGCATCCCAAAGCTGTACGAACTTTGATCAAACTGTAATGCTAATAATGACTGGTATCAGAGAGTGATGCTTACTTAATTTGACTAAGTCTCTGTGTTTTTGAGGAGTGGTGGTTTTGTTTTGGGTTTTTTTGTATGGGAGGAAGAACGCAATTACAGCATGTGTTGTATTTCCTAGGTTCCAAGGGAGAGGAGATCTTCAACAGCTAAACCCGAGGTAGAACATCCTGACCAAGACCATAGCAAAAGGTATTAGTTTTTATTATTGTTTGTCTGCTTATCTCCCTTCCCTCCTACACCACCAAAGCTGCTGAAGAAAAGTAACGTGCTGCACTGCAGCATTGTGCTGGAAGAGAGAAGTGGTTTGCTTTTACTCTGTGCCCCAAATTCCTGCACTGCCCCAAGAACAGGATGGGGATTGGACCATGATGTGAAGAGCTGAGGCCCAAACTGCTGCTCATCGCCATCCATCTGCTTTCTCTGTACTGGTGTCATACAGTCAGCATAGCAAAAGCTGGTCTTTTTAACACTAGGCACAGCCTGGTAATGCATGCACCCCTTCCCAAGGCTGCGGAGGTGACTGGTGATCCTTTTATTTTTGCAGGTGGTTGCCTCAGTTGCTCACTGCTGACTTTGTTGTCAGCTACCAGCAGCATTGCTTCTTCATGCATGGGCTGATAGGGAAGGACTTCAAAGTGCTTGCGATTTAGTTTTGGTTTTGTATTGTTCATGGACTTCTTTTGTATCCTCTGGAACGCCTGCCTTTCTTCCTCTTCCTGCACTCCCTCTCTCGTGCCTCCCAAGCAGAAGATGATACTGACTTAAGTAAATATTACAAATGTGAGGTTCATTCAAGCCAGGCTTCCCCTCCTACCATCCTCTTCCTTTGGACAGACTAGAATGCTTTAAGGACTCGAGGTGGCGTTTTGTGGTCTGGCTGAGCCCATTGAACAACTCGTTGTTGAGAAGAGCAGTCTGGTTCCCAGCCATGTGTTCCCACTGCTCCCCTCATACCAGCTCTGGTCTTCCACTGACCCATAACCTAGCAGGAAAAAAAGAGGAGGCTAGTTTTCTGCCAGTGGAACAAGCTGAACTGGCTCACCAAGGGGTTGGGGGAGCATCAGAATTGGTGCAAAGGAGAGGGCAGGACCACGTTGTGGAGAGGGAGAGAGGGAGGGCAGGCTGACTTAGTGGCTGCTAGCTATGAGGTCAGCTCAGCCACAGATCTCGGTGTTGTCGTGGCAGAAATGAGTGTGGTGGGGTGGAGAGTTGGAAGTTATGCAAATGAGTCCCAGGAGTCTCGGTGTGGATTTTCCTGGGGGTTTGCGCATGAAAAAGGGGTGTAATTTTCCTATTAGTGCTTCCCAGGTGGCATGCAGTCCTAGGGCAGAGGAGCAGCAGCCTTGCTCTCAGTCCTTCTCCATCTGCCAAAGAGCAGTTTCATGGAGCCTGTGTCTGCCAATGTGTGGTGGGAAGGGCCTCAGAGTGCTTAGTTTTGGACTGCTGTTTTCAAAGCAGTGAGGATCTGGGCTGTGAACTCTCACCCTTTGCTCCAGGGTAATTCATCTCCAAGGTGGGGTTGTTAGCAGTGGGTGAGGTGTTTTGTTTTTTGGTTTGTGTTTTTGTGGGTTTTTTTGGGGGGGGGTTGTTTTTTTTTTTTTTTGAATGAGTTTCTCAGCTTTTCAGGTTAGGATTGAGCTGTTCTGCACGAGCAGGAGAGGTGGTGTCAGCTGTCCTTGTCCAAAAGGCCGAGAAGTATTTCTAGCTCTTGTTTAATGAGAAAATGAGCTGTATAATTTATGCATGATTTTTTTCTTTGTCCTTTAAAGGAACAGCATCCCAAATGTAACAGAACAGTCACTCATTTCTGCTGGAGAAAACAGAGTCCAGGTTCTGAAAAATGTGCCTTTCAATATTGTCCTTCCACACACACCCCAGATGGGCATGGACAAGAGAGGCCACCTTACAACCCCTGACACGACAGTCACCGTTTCAATTGCCACGATGCCCACCCATTCCATCAAAACGGAGACGCAGCCCCATGGCTTTGCAGTGGGCATCCCACCAAGTGTCTACCACCCTGAGCCCCCTGAGCGGGTGGTGGTCTTCGACAGGAACCTCAATCCCGACCAGTTCAGTTCCAACACCCAGCCTCAAAACTCCCAGAGGCGAACACCGGACTCCACCTTCTCAGAGACTTTCAAAGAGGGCGTGCAAGAGGTACCAAGAGAGGCAGTTGCTGTGCGCGTGTGTGCATGTCTTGATCTGGATGGAGAGATCCAGTTCCATCTTTAATTGTTCTTGCTACTTGAGCCAGAAATCTGTCTGGTAATTTAGGAATAGAAGACTTTGTCAGAAAGGTGCATAAGTTTAACTTAGTAAATAAAACCTTCACAACATGAATTCATTATCAAAAGCAAATGACTAATCTTACTAGTGACAGAGCCTTTGACTTGCAGGGTGTGGAAATAGGTATCTCGATCCACAGCACCGGGCCAGGTTTTGCAAGAGTTCAGGACTCTGCAGTGCCTTTGCAGGTACCAAAGTGAAGTGGCTATGTCTGTAAGCTTCCTTACTGCAGGTTTCTAGGTGTGGTGTGTGTGTGTCAGTAGAAAACAGTCGGTGTATTTAGGGGCCTTGAGTGAGAGTTAAACCTGGATAAAAATCCCTGGTTTTTGTTTTATGGTACCAACTGAAAACAACAGTGTAACCGTGTTTTGATTTTTAAGCCAGAACTCAAGGAACTGTGTAGCTATGCCCTTTCTTGGAGATTTGGGAAAGCTTTAAAAGGTTGCCCTAAGCTGACTCAGAAGGCTTGTGAGATGTTTTGCTTAGTTGACACCCAAAAATTTTGGATTAAAACCCTGCTCAAGTGTCCTGTTTGTACAGAACAAAAATCAGTTGTTATCTGATGATCAGTTTGCCTGCCAGAAGTTCTGTGGTAATGAGTATCTGTTTAATCTTGACTTTTCTTGTTGCTGCTGTGTTAATTGTTGTGTTGTTTTGTTTTGTGTCTACCCCAGGTTTTCTTTCCTACTGAACTGAATCTCAGAATGGCCAACATGAATTCAGAAGATTATGTTTTTGACAGCATTTCTGGGTAATGCTTAAGGCCCCCGTTGGCCCGTATCCTCCTATTCTCTTACAGTTGTCCACGAGCAAGCAGTACAGCTCATGCCCTTCTGAAATGAGTCTCTGTCAGGCACTGGGGAGGCTGTGGATCTCAAAACCACAACAATGTCTGCTCATTTGAATTTCACAGTTGAAAATCCTACCTGTATATTTGAGGAAAACAACCTGCAGGGTTGGAAATACCACCCGGTTTCAGTCGCTGTCCTTGTACCAACTCCCTGTCCCATGGGAAGATGCAGCGCTGTCTGTCAGCTCTGCAGTGGTCTTGGAGTTGGCTTCCAGCTGTGTCCCTCTCCCTGGCCTCCTTGCCTTGCCCTCTCCCTGCTGGAAATCTACAGCAGAAATAGTAAGCATGAAACTCATCTGAACTCTAAGGGAGGGGAATAAATTAGTTGTTTGGTTAACTACAGTTGACCAAGAGGGAAGAGGAGAAGACAATGGCCACTGAATGGCTTATTAGCTTGTGAATTTAATTTAATTGCTAATAGATACTTTTCTGTTCCATGAGAGCAGCTTGCTGCTCTCAGCCTGAATAGGGAGCTTCCAGTCTGGCCTGCTGATGTGTCTTGGGATGTAGTTTGCCAAGAACTTCTCTTAAATGTTCATTCATGAAGGAAATGGTTGAAAAAGGGGCTCATCCTGTTTTCCAACTTCCTTGCCTGTTGACGGCTTAGTGAGTCAACTAACGACTTTGGAATTTCTCCAAATTAAATGTGGAACGTTTAATCGGCTTTCCAGGAAAATGCCTTAGCAATCACTGCCCTCTTTGCTCTGTAGGAATAACTTTGAATACACTCTGGAAGCTTCCAAGTCCCTCCGACAGAAGCCTGGGGACAGCACGATGACTTACCTGAATAAAGGTCAATTTTACCCAATCACGCTGAAAGAAGTCAGCAGCAGTGAAGGAATCCATCACCCCATCAGTAAAGTCCGAGTGAGTGGGAGCTCTTGTGGTTTCTTGGGAAAGAGGGTGTGTACAATGGTAGCGTCAAACTCTCCCGAAGTGCAGTAATCTAAACCCGAGCATCAGCACTAAGGCCAGCTTACCTGCTCTCTTACGTCAATGTTCATTCCTTTGCTGTCCACTTACTTCCAGACCAGCCCATCCTGGCTCAGTCTGTTAAGAAGTGGTGTCAGCACTTGTGTAAAGGTGATGCAACACCTGGAATGAGATTCTTGAACTCCAGTTAGGAGAGCAGTTCTGCTCATCTCTGTTTATGACCCAGAAAGCGCTGCTGTCTGTCTTCCTGTTTGGCAGCAGTGTGCCAGGTATACTGTCGTGTGTCAAGTTGGAAAGCCTAAAGCAGAAAACCTGATACCAACAAGAACTTCCAAAATAAATATAAATGTACTCTCTGGCCTTTTCTCTTTCATGTGTTTGTGGTGGTGTTTGGGGTTTTTTTTGGGGGGGGTGGGGGGTGGTGGTGTTTGGTTTTTTTTTTTAAATATTACTCCCTTCCACTCTCCTTTCAGAGTGTCATCATGGTTGTGTTTGCTGAAGACAAAACAAGGGAAGATCAGCTCAGGCACTGGAAATACTGGCACTCAAGACAGCACACGGCCAAACAAAGATGCATTGACATAGGTAAGGAACACTGTCATTGCTGATGTCAAACTCCAGACCTAATTCCTTGGCAAGGTTTGGTTTTCTGCTAAAGCTTTGTTATTTTAAGGGACCTTGGATCGCACTCTCTGCTATCCATAGCTTTGCTGAAAGCCCAGAGAGAACTTTTGATTGCTTGGAGCTAATGCTGTAGTTTTAAGGACTCCTTGAAGAGGCTGAATTTTGGAGGATTTTGGTTGGTGAGCAGGCCAAGTTCAGGGTTTTGCACTGGGAGAACTAACACGCCCCTCCAAACTACAGTTGCTCTGGCATATCCTGGTGCTTGTAGCTAAATCGCAGGTTATAGACTCTGTGGCTGTCCTAAATATTGTGTTTCTTCAAAGGACAAGATCCTTGTAGGAATACCTTGACACTAATGATCCTCCTTCCCACAGCTTCACTCACAAGTGGTCTTTGGTACGCATAAAAAAAGAAAACACTGCAAATTTCCACTTGCCTCCAGACAAGGCTGGGGCTGGCTGGCTTCCAGCCTTTTCTGGCTAAAGGCTGGGTTGTACTCCTCGTCCCTTCCTTCTGTGAAATAAAAGCAGGGATTAATCACTTGGCACTTAAAGCAGACGCGCATGCAAATGTTTGTTATTGAAGGAGTTTTACTGAGAGCTTATGCCCTTGCTGTACAGGGTAGAGTTACCCGCACATAGCAGGTTATGGCACAGGACATGCGATATTTGGGATGTCTGCCTTTCTCACTAGAGTTTCTAGTTTGGAATTTCTGCAGAGTCCCGTTCTCCTCCTTCCTCCTGTTTGTTGTTGTTTTTTTTCTGTATGAGAACCATTTCCAGCCTTTTTAATGATCCACTCTTAAGTGCAGTTCAGCTTCCTTTGCCCCCAAGGGCTTGCTGAGGAGTTGTAGTTTCTAGCTGCTCTGTGTGATTAAGGATTCCAGATGGTATCTCCTCTTCCTCTCCCTCATGCGTCCTTCTTTCTAACAGCTGACTACAAGGAAAGCTTCAACACCATCAGTAACATTGAGGAGATCGCATACAATGCCATATCCTTCACTTGGGACATCAATGAGGAAGCGAAGGTATGTGGCTGTGATTATATTTCCTGTCCTTTTAGCAGATTCGGGGGCTGGGGGAGGGGGAGGGTGTGTGGCCTACCTGGTGATTAGCATGTAACAAGTTTGTTTACGCTCTTGCATTAGGCAAAACCTTCTGGCTATTTCTTAAGAGGGTTTGCATGTGCAACTGCTTCAAGGTTCTTGGCAGAACTGCCTACCTGACAGACAAGTACTGACAAAAGGAAGCGCTGAGCATTTCCAGAGCAGATGAAGTGGTGCGGGAGGTGTGATGGAGCGTAGCTGCGCTTGGCAGCAAGCACAGTCTCCCGGAGGATCCCTGCGTGAGGCAGGGGGCAGCTTCTGAGGGATTTAGGCTGTGGCAATGGGCTTGCCTTTAGCAGAAGAGGGAGTAGCTGCTGCCATTGAGCTCCCAAAGCATGCATTGCTGAAACCACGGATCCCAACACCCAGTGACCTATTTCAAGCTAGAGCAGCCTCCTGGTGAACTCTGGTTTGATCTTTTTTCAGAGCTATGGGCACTGCGGTAGGTGCGTAAGTACGGGCAGCTTCCCTAGCTAGTAGCTGGGTGCAAGGACAGCAGGTCAGAGTGGAGTCACCTCAGTTCCAAAGGCATTTCCCACTGGCTTGTTGCTGGAGTCAAAGTGCAGGAGTTTTCTTTGGAGAGTTTCATTACTGCCTGGGTTTTCATTAAAAATTGGGAACAGTCTCCTTCAATTTTTGGAGACCGGCTGTTCCCTTGCTAGTACTTCATATGCTAGTCGCCAGCATCATGGGGAAAACTACCGACAGCTGCAGAGTGCCATGTCTAGGGAGAGCCTAGCTTGGGGAACAGAGGAGCAGAGAATGCAAAGGTCCTTCTCTAGAGCTGTGTGTGCTACTACGCTCTGCAGGGAGGTGCAGTGGGTGGTGTCACTGCACAGAGCCCACTGTCACCATGAGCTTTGCTCTGTGCTGCACAAGGCCTGTGGAGAACAGGCAGGGAGAGGTGATGTGGGGGCTGCTGTTGTGTTTCAGCTCTGTGGGAGAAGCTTGGGATGCTTGGCAGGCAGCGATGAGGAGCTGTGTGTGCTGCTGCTGAAAGTGCTGCCTTGCAGCATGCATGACATTACTTGTGAGGCTGGCGCTGGGTGCCAGGCTTCCCTGTTCACCAGATTTGACTGGATGGCAGGGAGGGCCTTACCTACTGGAGGATGCAAAAGGGTTGACATGATTTTTGAAGCATGAAGCACTTTGCTATGTGAACAAACAGATGAAGCTTCAGAAGGGCTGTCAAAAGGAGGCAGTTAAGTATTCCCGAAATGTTATCCTGCTGCCATAGCCAGTCTAACATTCAAGGAACCTGGGTAATCAGTGTCTGCAAGGTACTTGAGGGCTTAGGATTTGCACGCAGGGATGGATCATGCAGACAGAGCAATGATTTTGGTTCCCCAAGGAGTGAGAAGCACTTCACAGCTCCGCAGCTGCCTCTCTGCTGGCTGAGCCATCCTACAGCAGTAGGGACAGGCTGCTAACCCAGGAGCTGGGCTTAGAGCTGGTGCTGAGAACCCTGTGCCTGCCCCAAGGAAAGCCATCCCTTCCCACCAGGTGACAGAGCCCAGCCCTATGAAGCAGGTGGTTATTGCCCAGGTACTCTACAGACCCCTGAATGAGTAGTTTCAGTCTATAGTGAAATTGCCAATAGCAGCTTGAAAAGGTCTAAGGACCCTCACGGTGATACTTCAGCTTGGGGCTGAACTTCACAGGATGAGGTGGTATGGGGAAGCGTGAACCAGACTGGGTTTGTAGCTACAGAGGGAAATTTGCTTCCAGATTCACAGTCTGAGTGTGTGAGATCCATATACTTTGAGGATTGGTTTGTATGAACCCGCAGAGGGTACTGTTGATACCAAGAGTACAAGCCTTGGCTCCTAGGATCAGAATCATATTAAGACAAAAATACTCTGGACTTCAGTGATCAAAGAACTGGCATTTTTAGCAAATGCTCTATGTGTTTAAGTGTCTGTTTAACTTTTTTTTTTTCCTCCCCCTAAGTGGATGCATTTTTGTCAATGGTTGGATTTCTTACCAGTAGAGCTGCAGTTCTTTCTCAACTCCTGTGATCTTATCAGGAGATGTCTGAGCCAATTTCAACAATTTTTATTGCATGGTTCATTTACCTTGCATGCTCTCTCCCTCTCTTTTATTTTAATTTTCTTTCTTTTTGTCTTTTTTTTTTTCTCCCCAAACAATAATCTTGAAGTATATGAAGAGAGCAGGGAATAAATAGAGCTGCGTCTCTGATGCTACAGAAAGTCCTCCACTGTGATAAATACAGTGTCTTATATTTAATAACAGCAGCAGTGCTGCATAGATGGTATGTTTACTAGCCAGCAAGCCTTGATTATTAGAAATTTGCTTCCTGAGTCCTGGAGTTACCAGGACCAGAGCCAGGTGATTCTTCTGTGGTTGCTGCTTCTCCCATTTCCCTCTTGCTCCCAGTTTGCTGTGGGAATGATTTGATCCTGTGCAGTGGTGTCAAATGGGAGGCAATGAGGCTCTGCGTCTGGGGTTTTTGGTGTAATTACTCATTTAGGCACCCAGGGCTCTGGGTGTGTGTTGGATTTAAGGGAGAAATAGCATATTATTACAGGAAGTTGCCCCAGCAGCTCTGGGACCAGGTACTTGCTCTTCTTGTGCTAGCCTTCATTGTGGGGGTGTACAAGAATATTGGAACTCTGCTGCTTTGTCTGTGCCGGAGGGTGTCACCTGCCTGAGTGCTTTGCCAGTCCCCTTGGGGCGCTTCAGGGATTTTGTAAAATATAGCTTTCTGGTGAAGAAACACTGTTTCCAGGTGATAACCAGTCACCTGCTCACTCTGTAGCAAGGAAAATGTGTGTATTTTGCAGCTGTTGAGTTGGGGGATGGAAAGGATGTTTGAGATGCCCTCAGCAACCAGAATTTCCTGGTTGTGTTGTGCTGGGAGAGCTGAGGGCTACGCCAGGGCTTTGGGTGCTGGACACAGCAGGCAGGTCTGGCTCTGCACGGGTGGAGTTGTCACACAGCTGGCTGCATTGGTGTGCTGTTTGTGAGCCCATGTGTGTAGAAACCAGGAGTATTTCATGCAGGACAGACACTTGCCACTCTGGGACCAGACAGTGTCAGTGGGTTTCAGAGCAAAGGCTATGTACTTCTTTCTGGCAGCTCCTCTCTGCCCTCTTCTGTTGCTTTGGGACATCACAGGAGCGGCTAGAAGTGGCCACTTTATGGAATAGAGGTGGGTTAAGTATTCCCTGAGTGTGTTCGAGCTGGAAGAGGACCCAGGATCCAAAGCCTCCTTGCTCTGAGACAGTGAAGTGAGCCGAGGGTGGGGAGGAAAAGACAGACTGCCCCAAAGTGGTGCTCCTGAGACTGGAAGTAAAGCAAGGGCAGGGTAGAAAGATTGGCAGGAGGCACTCCAGAGTGGGGGAGTGGTGATTCTGGGGGGCTTCCAGGTGTGTCCATGTTAGCAGTGGGGTCTGATCCCACCACCTGACAGATCAGGGTAGGGGAAGAGCTGGATGAGGAGGTAATCATGCTTTGTGAGGAGAAAGGGGGAGATGGTGAACTGGGAAATTAGTTGATAAACTAGTGAGTAGTTGAATTAGATATTCAGGAAAGCCAGCACAGCTACTCAGTCAGGAGCCATCCTGGTTGGTTGGAAGCATGATCTGATGAGTCTGACAAAGATGTGTAGCTGATACACTCACTTGCACTCAACAGGTAATGCTGGAGTTACCCTGAGGCTTGTGGAGACTTCATTCCCACTCCGTCCTGGATGTTTGCCGTGTTGGGCAGACAGTTGAGGTGGGGTTCTTCTGCGAACAACTTTTAGATGTCTGAACACAAGCTCGTCATCTTTCACTTCTATGACTTCATTAGGGACAGGGTGTCTAGAGCTGGAGGAGCTTTTTCTGGAGGTGCCTGCCCCTCCTCATTGACTCAGCAGGCTTGGCCATCTTTAAAATCAGGGGATTTTAAAGGTAGGGAAGAGGAATCCTGTCCTTGCAGCCCTTTTTTGCCTCCTCCATATGTCAATTGGGAGAAGTGTTTGTAGTTTCAGGTCATGAGTTTTGAGGCTGGGAACCATCTCTTCCCAGGTCTCTTCAGCATGACCGGTACCCATTAGAGGTCTTTTAATGAAAATTGCCACTACGTGCATGGTTAAATGCACATTTTTTTCGGATGTTTCCTGCTACTCTTCATATTGTTGGCCATTGTCCTGTTACCTCTGTTGTGTTACCCGTTAGGCTGTGAAGAAAATTCTCTATCCCTTACCTTTGGCCTGGGGACATGGCCTGCTCTCAGGTCAGTGGCAGTTGAGCAATCTGGATGGATCGGTTTCCCCAGGGTTAAGTGGCTTTGCTGGATCCCACTTTGCTCAAATCCTGTCTGAGCTCCTGCCTCATGGAGTGGGAGTGCTGGGGCCTTGTGTCTGAGCAGGGTGAGTTGTTGTGTCTGCATGGTGATGACAAGAGCCTCTTTGACTGTTTTTGTAGTCGTAACAGCGCAAGGACCCTGCTGTTGTGCTGGGGCACCCCTTCCATGCTTGCCAACAGCTCTGTTCTGAAACGTAGCGTTGCTTCCAGCAGCTCCCAGAGAAAGGCCCCCATGGGGTCTTCTGTCTGGCTTGCTTTAGGCAGGATGGTGAGACTGGAGCCAAAAATGATGTCACCACACATTAAGGGCTCTATTGTCCTCCCACTCCTTCCCTCCAAAATAAAAAAAAAAGGCACTGTAAACCAGATGTTCTGTGTGAAAAGACCCTTTCTGCTAAAAAGGGTTACATGGTGAGGGTGTAACAGGGGCATTTAGAGCTGGAGAATATTGTGGTAGAGCTTTTTGCTGTCTTTCCACCAAAGGGAAGGTGCTGTGGTATCTCTTAGTGACACCTTCAATGACAGAGCAATTAATGTTTTTTTTCCTGTTTTTTTGTGTGTGTTCTGGTTTGGTTTTTTTGTTTGTTTGGGTTTTTTCCAAAAAAAGTG